ACGCCAAAAAAAAAAAAACCCAAACCCGGACAACAAACAACCCAGAAACAACAGCCACACAAGCAGCATCAACTACAATACTACCTGCAACAACCACAGAAGTTATTACAAACAGCTGTCGACCAGCCCAAACAACTACAACTGCATCTCTAGTTACAACTACGACAGTGCCAGCTGGGACAACAACCAATGTAGCAACAACAAGCACATCAGCTCAAACAATGACCCTGCCATCATCAACAACAACCATCCCAGAAACAACAACCACACAAGCAGGAACAACTACAACATTATCAGCAACAACAACCACAGAAGTTATTACAAACACACCACTCCCAATAACTACAGCTGCAGCACAATTTCCAACCTCAACTCTACTAGTTGAATCAGCAACTAGTGTCGAGACAAGTAGCACATCAGCTCAAACAGCAACAACACAAATACCGACAACAAGTATTCCAGAAACAACCACACCAGTAGCAATAACCACAACATTGTCACCAACAACAACAGACATTATTTCAAGTGCACCAGCCCAAATAACTACAACTGCAGCTTCAGTTACAGCTACAACAGTAATAGTAGGGACAACAACCGCTGCAGAGACAACAAGCACATCTGCTCAAACAACAACCCCCCATCAGTAACAACAACCATTCCGGATACAACAACCACACGAGTAGCGACAACTACAGAACTTATTACAACTTCACAAGTCCAAATAACTACAACTACAGCTCCATCGTCAACCTCAACTGTACTAGCTGAATCAGCAACCGGTGTCGAGACAGGTCGCACATCAGCTCATACAACAACAACACAATCAGCGACATCAAACAATCCAGAAACAACAGCCACACAAGCAGCATCAACTACAATACTCCCTGCAACAACTACAGAAATGATTACATCTTCACCAGTCCCAATGACTACAACTGCAGCTCTACTTACAACTACAACAGTACCAGCTGGGACAACAACCACTATAGAGAGATCTAGCATATCAGCTCAAACAATAACCCCGCCATCATCAACAACAACCATTCCAGAAACAACAAACACACCAGCAACACCAGCTACAACATTATCAGCAAAAGCAACCACAGAAGTTATAACATCTATATTAGTCCCAATAACTGCAACTACAGCTCCATTGTCATCCTCAACTGTACTAGCTGAATCAACCACTACTACAGAGACAACTAGCACATCAGCTCAAACAGCAACAACACAAATACCGACAACAAGTATTCCAGAAACAACCACACCAGTAGCAATAACCACAACATTGTCACCAACAACAACAGATGTTATTTCAAGCGCACCAGCCCAAATAACTACAACTGCAGCTTCAGTTACAGCTACAACAGTAATAGCAGGGACAACAACCACTGCAGAGACAACTAGCACATCTGCTCAAACAACAACCTCCCTACTAGCAACAACAACCAGTCCAGCAGCAACTACTACAACAACTACAGATGTTATTACAACTACACCAGCCCAAAAAAGTACAACTGTAGCACTAGTTACATTATTAGATGGGACAACCATAACCAAACCATGAAATCCTACTGCCACTGGAGCCACCACTACAATAGCAAAACAAACCCCTGCAGCAACAGAAACCATACCAACAGCAACCCAAACACCAGCACCTTCAAGTAACATGTCTTCTGGACATGTTTATAGTATGACAGTAGGACTTTTAAGGGAGGAATATTCAAATGAGCTCAATGACCCAAGCACTGAGCAATATAAAAACCTCAAATATCGAGTGGAAAAATCTGTAAGTATGAATAATTTGTCTTTAATGAATGTTATAGGTGTAGCTTTGGATATTGATTTTAATATTTGAATTCAAAACTTTATTTTACAGTGTGACAAAGTGTACAGAAACAAATTTCCTAAACGTTTTGATCACTGTAAAGTAAAGCAGTTCAGGTAATACATTTTCACTCATGCTCTTAATTTACTGCACAAAGCATTTTACTGATTCATGTCCCATGTGTTTCTAATTCTTTAGAGCCTCCACACCCAAAATCTCAAAAGCAACTGGAACTGATGTAGATTTAGATATCATATTCAAACCTGAGGTCTCCTCTTCAGAACTCCCAGAAAATAGTGTTGTTGCCCAAACCATACAGGCTGTAAATGGGTCCAGTGGTGTGTTTAATGTCACTATAAATCCCAGCTCTATTCAAATCACTTGTAAGTTATTGCATGATATTTTGTCACTTTTTGTTATATTTTGCCTAAAATTGTCAAGTCAAGACAAGGAACGTGAAATTTTACCAGGAACCAAGTGAAGAGCAGGCAAGAATCGTAGTTATCTTAAATGAACTCTACATTTTGACAGATTTAAATAAATTATATTTTGATATTAGAAAGTTTTTAGTTATTTATTAGTAGATTTTTATATATATATATATATTCTAGTATGGAATTTATTATTATTACAATACTATGCTATTGCAGTACTAAGAGCAGAAACAAATTCTTCTACTCACTCGTATGCCAATAATAGTTTAATAAAAGTATTACAGCAGATGTGAGGTGGTTTGCCAAAACACGTTTGCTTGCAAAATGTTTTTCAGCAAGTCCAAAACCGACAACTGCTGCACCTACAATTGTGAAGCCAACAACTATTCCACCAGCAACTCCTACATCTGCATCTAGAGTGGTGTCTTTCAGGTCACTTAAAGATAATTTTACCCTGGATCTGCTTGACTTATCCTCTGTATCTTTTAAAAACCGAGCTTCTATGATAAAGGGGCAGGTACGTTTAACAAATAAGTAAAGAATGACTGACAACAAAAATATGTTCACTGTTCAGTATGACTGATTAAATATATGCTATGTGTGGCTGTAGATCGAGCCTCTATGTAAAGATGCATTCCCCACCTCCTTCATTTCACTGGATGTTCTGGCATTTGGGTAATTAAAAAAAAGACAGTTACAGAGGGCAGATGGTGATATAATTCATCAAATTACTGTTCTAACTTTCTTTACAGGAATGGTTCAGTCATTACTTATTTACGTCTCCATTTTGTAAGCACATCAGTTCCGAACAACACTGCGATAAGAAATGTCTTTCTACACGCCTCTTCAGTCGTCACAGGCTTTGACATTGAAGGCAGCTCCATCACTGTTGATGGCATTTGTAAGTAATTCAAACTGGATTTTTTTTTCTCTCAAACAATGTCAACAAATGTTTTCTCTTCACAGCTTCAAGAGGAGTAAACCAAAAGATCAGCCTCATCACTGCAATATGCCTTGCAATTGTCTCATGGCTCCTGTCAAGCCAACACTAGAATTCGTGACAACTTTATTTTGGAAGGATATTGTAACACAAACTTTCTGCAATGGAAAGGGATAATGTTGGGAAAATGTTAAGTTTAGTGTGGCACATGTTGCACATATTCAATTTAGCTATTTCCCCTGATCAGTCACATCACAGGTGATAGTTTAGTTAGGTCTGATGAAGTGATCACGATTCGCCCAGAAAATAAAAAATGAAAGAATATCTAAATGAAACCAATCATGGTGCAATGAAAACAAAGTTTTTTGAAAATGACAACTGTTGCACAAGGATTGTATGACTGGATTCATCCATGCAGTGATGAAACTTCACAGTTGTATGATATGTACAGTATATGGTAAATCTTAAGTTAATGTAATAGACTATATTACAGAAACCTTATATTAAGACAATTTATACACTTTTGCACTTTTCTTCCTATTTGAAATCGAAATTGTACACAGACCCATATCTTGTTTTTTTTTTTTAGCAATAGGAAACGTTAAACTACACTATTTAAAATATAATGGTTGGAAATAAGCACCGTTACACAAATACACCAGAAACAAAACATAATGTAACCAAGTAGTGAATATTTATGGCTGTCTAAAAATGTATGTATTATTCATGTTTTAAATTGCAAGTTGATTGTGATCCCAATGTTGCATTGATTTTTATATAAAAAGTGTATTTATTTAATGAAAAAAATAATCAATTTTTACTTGTTCTTTACTACTCATTTTATGTTGTTTTTCTGTACAATTCTTTTGTGTAAGAACAAAATAATAAAAACAACTGAAACCTACAAAAACAGTCTACAGTATGTGAAATTAAGGAGAACTATTTAGAACTTATTATGAATTAGATACATTACCTATGGTGCAATAGACATCTTAACTGCTTTGTCAAAACATTTCTAGCCGTCAGCGATGCTGTTGGCCCCCACTATCCGCAGAGATTTTTAAGTGGGGTTTCTCCAGGTCTTGTGGTGGCTCATTAGTAGTGTGCAAATAAAAACCTAAATACCAACCAGTTTTGGGATGTTTGGAAGATCTTAGGATGGTGAGGGTTAGGGTTAGATAACCCTGTGATGAAGTTTATCTATTTCTGTTGCAAAATTCAGTTTGTGTGAGGGAAGCTCATCAGATGGAACTGAAACAGGATCTGATTCTGTTTAATACATACAGTATTGATTTACATTTCTTCAGTGATTGTTTTGTTTGTTTCTACAATTGTTGTTGTTAATATTCATACCACAGTGATACTGAAAACAACCTTTTTTCCCCAGCAGATATATCTCAGTAGGGATATTATTGATCGCTGACAAAAATAATTAAAAAAAAAAAAATTAATAATAATTTGGATCCAATTTGTGTTGTACTCTTTACTGTGTTTACTTTGCTCTTGACATGACGAGAAAGGTATAAAAGAAAAAAAATTCGAATTTTTTATGATTTATTTTGATATGTAGTGATAGTATTTCTGTGACTGGCTAATTATTCATCAGTCCACCTATTTAGGAATCATATTTATCTCCGTCAAGTTTGTGAAATGTTGACACTTTGTTTGGCTAATAACTTCTCATTTAGAACTAATAAGTTGTGTTCTTATCAACATTCTCAATGTTAACTGTCATTTGAAAAGGGAATGAGGAAGTTTAACAGAAGAGAGGGTTCTGGAAAAGTTAAAGAATGAGAATGAGTGATACTATTGAAATTATTTACTTAATATGACAAAAATGGTTCAGTTTTTGATATTTAGTTGGGGGGGATTTTAATCAATTAATAGTATATTTCTGGGGGGCTGCAACGAATTAATTGTTTTTTAATTATTTTTAATGGGGGAAATTTGATTTAGACACGAGTGCTGCTGTGGAATGGATTAAACCCATATCTAGGGGCTCCACTGTTATGTTTTAGTCATGTATTCCCTTTTTACCTTTTTTAAAGAAAATGTATGATTCACAACAAACCAGTCAAACAGAATACTAAACATAAGGCTCACCTTACATATTTTGTTGTACCCCGTGTTACAATGACAATAAAGACTATTCTATTCTATTCATATTTACTTAAGTTGTTTTATTATTTAATGTCTTATTGCATAACAAACATCTATATATTCTTTTGAGCATTTGGTTATTTTCACTAAAGTTAAATTATTAGATTATTAGTTATACTATTAGAAATAGAAATCATAACGGAAAGATAACAACAACTAATCTGGTGGGATGCAAAAAGGTGCAGCCCAGGTTAAACAATGACGTGTTGTGTGTGTTGTGTGTCACACAAAATAAATCAACCCAATTCTGCCATCTATCTGTGGAAGCATTTTTAAACTGTTAAACTGGTTTTATGCTGACAGTGGCTCGATTTGTGTGTGTACGTGTGTGTTGTTTAAGAAAATGTTTGCTTCTCAAAGTACAAATGTTTCTTTTTTCAATAAAAAGTGTATATAGCAACAAGCATTGTTATAATTGTACACTTTCTTGATTTTATACACAGACTTCCCTTCAGAATGTTCTTTTTTTAAGCCCCATGGTGGACCATTTGGTGAATCAATTAATCCACCTTTTTTTACTAACCATATCCATCCATCCTTCTATCTATCTATCTGGCACAACAATACATGTATCTAAATCGCTGAAAGTTTAAGTACTCCACTGAAGTACTCCGCCTTTGGCTGAACTATAGATCAGAGGTCCACCATGTCACCAACATTCATTCACACCAAGGTGCCACGTGACAAACTAGCCTGTTGCAACATAGCTAATGTCTCAAATTAGTAGTGAGATTTATCACATTGTGACATGTGTCACACATTAAATCTAAAAAAATCTTTAACCTGGTTCGCTCTTTAATAAGGGACCATAGGTCTTGTTCATTGAGGATTTTCTTTCTTTGCTATTTCTATTCATTATTGCTGATTAAGCTTTTGTTTATTCATGAGCTATGTTTTTAATATATACTATGCTCCCAAGAATGAATATAAATTATATAAATATATAAATAAATTAATTTATTTTATAATTATTTTACAGGGTGCTATTTTTGTTTTATATGGTTATAACGTCTAAGTATACACAGCATAAAATGAGGCAGGTATAGCTACACCAGCTATATTTAATTGGAATTAAATACTTTGAAAAAAGATATGGAAATGTCTGTTTTTTTGTATTGATAAATATATCAAAGCGTGATACTTAAGTATCGAAACAAACCAAACCATGAATTTTATGTATCATTGAACCCCTAATATATATGTGCTTGTATATATATAAGATACTATAGATCCATATAGTAAAAACATCTTTTTATAGACTTCCATTGAGAGGAGAACCTTTTCTATATTGCAGTTCTCCATTTTTTTAATCCAATCTCAAACTTTTCATTATATCACAAAATATATCAAAAAATAAGCTAAAAGACATTATAAAATAATTACATATGAAAGTTTTGGCTTTAAAATTGTGGATTATTGTTTTAAAATTGAGATAAGCACATTTGCAAACGATCGTTGGTAGCATTGTTTGAAAACCTGTAGAACCTGCTGATGCTTAAAGATTGTTTTCCATCTAGCTCTGTTCCCCCCCGCCCCGCCTCACCCCCCCGTATTCCAGTCCAGGCAAAAAAAACGTAATCTTGAATGAAGGCTTTGCCATTTTTCAATATGTAATCTATATTTACTCATATGTATCACTGATCAGTTATTTGGTTTTAAAAGCTTTTATATGAGGCATAGGTAATTATACATTACTAAATTGACTGCTAGCCAAAGCACCTCCCTCTTGGACCTCTGCATCTTTTGGTGATATCACACACACATGCTTGAAATGTAACCAAGATAAGGCAAACAAAGACAGTAACATTTTGACACTGCTTACTGGATGTTCTGCTCTTTGCCTTTTTGACTGCCTTCATGCGTGAAGATTGTAAAGGGTGTCAGTCTTCTTCATTGTTTTGTTACCTTTTAGCCTGGTTAATGCTTGTGAGTAGCTGCAAAGTTGCAAGTCGATGTCATTTCAGCAGCTTGCTCTTTTGAATAAAGTAAAAAGCATCAAGAGGGAAAGGAAAGAAAGTGAACGTCTTGTCATTGTGACACAGCACACCACTGCACACAACCAAATTGACCTCTGCTTTTAACCCATCACCAAAGTGAATAGTGGGCAGTGTGTGGGGACGGTGCCATGCTCAGAGCACCTCAGTGGTAACTTGGGAGCTGATGGACTGGAAGCTGAAGCCATCCGGACTCAGGTCCACTTCCTTAACCACTAAGCCACTACTGCCCCATCACTGCCACCAAGATATGATCAAAAATGTCTCATGCGTCAACAGCCAAATTACATCACAATATATAAACACGTCAACAGATGTGAGATATTTTAAAAGCAGAAAGGTTTATGGCACTGCATTTACAAACTGGACTCAAGATTTAAATGCAAATTTACTGAAATATTCTACTTGCCAAAAAAGGGAGAATTAATTTTTTCTCAGTTTTCTGTCAAATCTGGGACTACCAGGTGAGTTTTTTTTAAGTTAACTTGTGTAAACTTGCTGCTAAAAAAAGGTAGTACCTGAACATATGCATATATTTATCTCCAATACATACCTTTTGTATGTTAACAAATTTTAAGTGCACAAACAGTCACAAAAGGAACTTTATATAATTTTATGAGTAAATGATAATTATTATCTTTAGATGTTCTTTAATTTGTTATTCATAGAGAGTATACATATTACAACACAGGATTAAAAAGCAGAACACTGATGGCATTGTCTTTTTTTTTTAGTGCGAGGTTGTATTTTCCTCTACACAGATACAACTCAAAAAAGATGAGATGAGGTTAATCATTCTGTACAACAACTTCTCAGAAGTGCTGATAATTTGGATGGACCTTAGGATCCTTGTCAATAGCTTTAAGTTTTGTGAAAATAAATATTTGCAAATAATTACTTTGTTATATTTTCACAGACAATGAGTGTCTCTGGTTTTTAATTAATAATAATTTAAATTAGAGGTATGAATTTGGTATTTCTGTTATTCTACTTTAATGTGCACTTTGAACAATAACGTGGTCAATTTTCAAAAGATATTAAATGAATCCCAATGCTTGCAGATTGTAATATTTAGTAAGAACCTTTTTATTTTTTCATTTTTTCTAGATTAAAAGAATGGGTTTCAATCTTCTCATATTATATTTCCTTCTTACAGGTAAGGTGATGCTATTGAGAAAAATACTAAGTACAGTGGAACATTGGTTGTTGCACGCCTCCCTTTTTGAACAATATGGTTCACAAACCAAATTTTTAGCCAAAAAAAAAAGAAAAGAAAAGTACTTAGTACAGCAACAAAAAAAGAGAAATAGATTATACAAAAGCATGAGAATTGCGCTCCTGTTTCAGATCTGGTTTTATGGTATGGCTTAGCAAACCATAGATAAGCCATACCATGGCTAGAAAGAAGCAATTAGGAACAAGGAAGCTAAGATTGCCAAAGGAATGATTGTGATCACCAAGCAAAGATTTCAAGACATTAGAAGAAGTGGAAAAGTTGCTACTGATTTGGATCAATAGAAAGTAGTATTTTGGAGACAATAATTGTAAACATTGAGCAATCAGGACTCCACAGCACTGGTAAGGGTGAATGAAATTGCTTTTCTTATTCAGAGCTTAATTCTTTACTCAGTTGTGTTTACCTTTTTTTGTTAGATATAATTATTTTCATTTGTTTCCTGTATGGCCCTGTACACAAAATACTGTTGAAAAAGTTTGAATAAAATCCGTTTCATATTGATTCATATGGCGAAAATTGTTTCCGTTTTCAAGCTTTTTGGTTCATAAACAGCCTTCACCCGAGGTTCCACTGTACTGTACTGCTTTCACTTTTTTTAACTATAAGAACCATGATATTAATAATTAATATAATGAATACATTCTACAACACGCACAACAGCAGCAGGAACTGCCACTACACCAGCCCCAACAGCAACAAGTGCTGCGGTAACAGCCACTACAGCAGCCCCAACAGCAACAAGTGCTGCGGTAACAGCCACTACAGCAGCCCTAACAGGCACAACTGCTGCAGTAACTGCCACTACAGCAGCCCCAACAACCCTTACAGCAGCAGGAACTGCCACTACAGCAGCTCCAACAGCAACAACTGCTGCGGTAACAGCCACTACAGCAAGCCCAACAACCCATACAGCAGCAGGAACTGCCACTACAGCAGGCCCAACAGCAACAACTGCTGCGGTAACAGCCACTACAGTAGCAGGAACTGCCACTACAGCAGCCCCAACAGGCACAACTGCTGCGGTAACTGCCACTACAGCAGCCCCAACAACCCTTACAGCAGCAGGAACTGCCACTACAGCAGCCCCAACAGCAACAAGTGCTGCGGTAACAGCCACTACAGCAGCCCTAACAGGCACAACTGCTGCGGTAACAGCCACTACAGCAGCCCTAACAGGCACAACTGCTGCAGTAACTGCCACTACAGCAGCCCCAACAGCAACAAGTGCTGCGGTAACAGGCACTACAGCAGCCCCAACTGGCACAACTGCTGCGGTAACACTCACTACTGCAGCCCCAACAGCAACAACTGCTGCGGTAACTGCCACTACAGCAGCCCCAACAACCCTTACAGCAGCAGGAACTGCCACTACAGCAGGCCCAACAGCAACAACTGCTGCGGTAACAGCCACTACAGTAGCAGGAACTGCCACTACAGCAGGCCCAACAGCAACAACTGCTGCGGTAACTGCCACTACAGCAGCCCCAACAGCAACAACTGCTCCGGTAACACTCACTACAGCAGCCCCAACAATCACAACTGCTGTGGTAACAGCCACTACAGCAGCCCTAACAGGCACAACTGCTGCGGTAACAGCCACTACAGCAACCCCAACAACCCATACAGCAGCAGGAACTGCCACTACAGCAGCCCCAACAGGCACAACTGCTGAAGTAACAGCTACTACAGCAGCCCCAACAGGCACAACTGCTGAAGTAACAGCTACTACAGCAGCCCCAACAGGCACAACTGCTGAAGTAACAGCTACTACAGCAGCCCCAACAGGCACAACTGCTGAAGTAACAGCTACTACAGCAGCCCCAACAGGCACAACTGCTGCGGTAACAGCCACTACAGTAGCAGGAACTGCCACTACAGCAGCCCCAACAGCAACAACTGCTCCGGTAACAGCGACTACAGCAGCCCCAACAGGCACAACTGCTGAAGTAACAGCTACTACAGCAGCCCCAACAGGCACAACTGCTGAAGTAACAGCTACTACAGCAGCCCCAACAGGCACAACTGCTGAAGTAACAGCTACTACAGCAGCCCCAACAGGCACAACTGCTGCGATAACAGCCACAACAGCAACAAGTGCTGCGGTAACAGCCACTACAGCAACCCCAACAACCCATACAGCAGCAGGAACTGCCACTACAGCAGCCCCAACAGCCATTACAGTAGCAGGAACTGCAACTACAGCAGCCCCAACAGCCACAACAGTAGCAGGAACTGCCACTACAGCAGCTCCAACAGCCACTACAGTAGCAGGAACTGCAACTACAGCAGCTCCACCAGCAACAACTGCTACAGTAACAACGACTTCAGTAGCCCCAACTGGCACAACTGCTGCGGTAACACTCACTACAGCAGCTCCAACAGCAACAACTGCTGCGGTAACAGCGACTACAGCAGCCCCAACAGGCACAACTGCTGAAGTAACAGCTACTACAGCAGCCCCAACAGGCACAACTGCTGAAGTAACAGCTACTACAGCAGCCCCAACAGGCACAACTGCTGAAGTAACAGCTACTACAGCAGCCCCAACAGGCACAACTGCTGCAGTAACAGCCACTACAGCAGCCCCAACAGGCACAACTGCTGAAGTAACAGCTACTACAGCAGCCCCAACAGGCACAACTGCTGCATTAACAGCCACTACAGCAGCCCCAACAGGCACAACTGCTGAAGTAACAGCTACTACAGCAGCCCCAACAGGCACAACTGCTGCAGTAACAGCCACTACAGCAGCCCCAACAGCAACAACTGCTCCGGCAACAGCGACTACAGCAGCCCCAACAGGCACAACTGCTGAAGTAACAGCTACTACAGCAGCCCCAACAGGCACAACTGCTGAAGTAACAGCTACTACAGCAGCCCCAACAGGCACAACTGCTGAAGTAACAGCTACTACAGCAGCCCCAACAGGCACAACTGCTGAAGTAACAGCTACTACAGCAGCCCCAACAGGCACAACTGCTGCGGTAACTGCCACTACAGCAGCCCCAACAACCCTTACAGCAGCAGGAACTGCCACTACAGCAGCCCCAACAACCCTTACAGCAGCAGGAACTGCCACTACAGCAGCCCCAACAACCCTTACAGCAGCAGGAACTGCCACTACAGCAGCCCCAACAACCCTTACAGCAGCAGGAACTGCCACTACAGCAGCCCCAACAGCAACAACTGCTACAGTAACAACGACTTCAGCAGCCCCAACACGCACAACTGCTGCGGTAACAACAGCCCCAACAGGCACAACTGCTGCGGTAACACTCACTACAGCAGCTCCAACAGCAACAACTGCTGCGGTAACTGGCACTACAGCAGCCCCAACAGGCACAACTGCTGCGATAACAGCCACAACAGCAACAAGTGCTGCGGTAACTGCCACTACAGCAGCCCCAACCGGCACAACTGCTGCGGCGCCTACCACAACTGCAGGCCAAACCAAAACCACAGCTTTAGTGACTGCCACACCTGGGGCAACTGTAGCCTATACCCTTAAGCTAGTATTGGAAGTTGATTTCATACCTGCTTTTAATGACCCAAACAGCCCTGAATTTAAAAAAGTGAAGGAGCAAATGGAAGGTCCAGTAAGTCACTTTCTTCAGCAATATTTCTTAGATGCCTCCTAAGAAAAATCTTAATGTTTAGAAACCAACTTCGATCTTAATAATTGACCTCAAACATTTCTTTATTTTCTTACTTTTTTTAGTGCAATAAAATATACAAAATTCAGTATGGTGACAAGTTCAAGAAATGCAGTTTAAAAGGTTTGAGGTAAGGAAGAGTCTTTCTCAGTAAAATGACATCTGTAATGGCATATCTACATCACACATTTCAATAAAGTATTTGTATTGACTACTGACTTTGGTTTTATCTTCCTGACACAGGGTTGAAGGTTCCACAAAAGCATTAAAAGCCAATAGAACTGAAGCCGACATGGGGATTGAGTTTGCCTCAGTTACACCAACCGAGTTACCAGGGGCCACGGACATTGCTGATGCATTTGTAAAGGGTCTAAGTGACCCTAACGTTACATTCAGTTTGACAGTAGATGCTCAAACAGTGGAGGTTACAGGTTGGTAAAAACAACTCAATATACCCGATGTGAAGCCAGCATGCCTTTTGTCTTTGTTACTGATGTACAACATTTTCCTCTGTGGCATTATGACGCCACATACTCTTCTACTCCCTTAAGGTGTTCCTCTCACTGCTAACTGCTGCCTCGTTTGCAGCAATACACTAAGTTATAATTGGGACTTTCTTGCACTGTTGTTTCAGTGTTTTGTCCTTTTTGTTGTTTTACAGAGACTCCAAATGACCCTGCAACTACTACAGCAGCACCTCTGATTTCCAACACCGTAGCTACAACTGTTGCACCAACATCGAGACTAATATCCTTCAAATCTGTTAAGGACACATTTACAACTGACTTGTATGATTCACAATCCACTGCCTTTAAACAACGGGCTTCAATGATAAAGAACGAAGTGGGTATTCATTTACTAACTTCATCCTTCTTTTTCTTATTGTTCATTTGACATTGTCAACATTGCTCTTGTAAAGAACCTTTAAAGACACTTAATTTTCCCTCTGGCAGCTGGAATCACCAATGAAGAAAAAATTATCATCTTTTGTGTCTTTGGAAGCAATAGCGTTCAGGTGAATTTGCATCTTGTGAAATGTGATATTTTTAGGTTGAACAAATTTGGATCATTTATTTAATGTTTACTAATTCTACAGAAATGGATCGGTGATCAACCTCATTAAGTTTTATTTTACAAGTTCTTCTGTCCCCACTGGCAATGAGATTGCAAGTGCTTTGATAAATGCAGCTGCAAGTGTTACTGGCTTCGACATTGACACCGGCTCCATCACTGTTGATGGCATACGTAAGAAATTATACAGCCTCAGTAAAAACTGCAAGACTTCAATCAGAAGAATCAACTGTTCCCTAATGTTTTGTTTGTTGAAATGCCCCTCTAGCCTCAAGTGGAACAAGACAGAAGATCAGTCTCATTTCTGCGTCTTTCCTGGTGCTGTTATCATGGGTGTTGTCAAACCAGCAGTAACATCAACATCAAAGTGATTATTTTCTGAGTGGTAACTGGTGTATAAATCACTTCTGTATGTTAATCCAGCCTTTAACATTTGGAATTAATAGTTTGAGCACTGAAAATGTAAACATGTAGTGACATTAGAAAAAATGCCAAATTGTCAAATGCTTTGTCAAAGACAAGATAATGCTTCACGATGAAAAGAGTAAGAATAGTATGATCAGCAAAACACATACTAGACAAAGTTATTCTTTTGTAAATTCTATCCTTCTAGAAAGCCATTGGTGCCTCTGGAGTTCCACAGATACCATTGTTTTTAATTAGTTTATACTGTATGTAGAGGGCAAAAATAACACAACCTACTAACAGCTTCAGGATGCTTGAACATGTTAATATAATTGGATTTCAGTGTTATAAAGGCACCTTAAATCTAAGTCACCTCATGGAGTTGGAATGTTACAGTCCTTGTTTTTTGCAAGAGTAAAACAGATAACCTGTGTTTGCTCTTGCCAGGAAGTTGGCATATTAAAGTAATTTAAAAAGTCTTCATCTGGTTTTCTTTATTGGTTGTTACAGTACATTGAAGAGATCAAGTCATTCCCCTCAATTTAATTCCATATATAAAGGTCTGAGCGGATGTGTGAGGCAAACACAGCTGTAGAGGTACTATGTTAAGTGAGATGATTGAATAAAAAAGATAAGAAATTTTGGGTCTTTAAGGGAATAAATAACTTCGACAACAAGAGAAGTTGAATTTTAAGGAAATATTTATCATTTTTAAGGTAAGTATGTTTTAACATATCCACTGTTTGTATATTGAATACATAATATGGAGTTTGTTAGATTACAGTAAATATAAATGTGTGCTTTCTCCTGTTCTATAATTACACAATCAAAAACACACACACAAAGAGCTAAGTTAACAAAACCATTTAGCACTCATGACAAAATTTTAACATTAAGGTGCATTTTATATTAGGGGCATCAGTGGAATTACACTGATGTAAGTTTAAAATTTAAATTAGACACCATAACAGACACAATTTTTTTCAAAAGCATAAAAAAACAGAATTGTTTCACAAGTTTTCCAGGAAAACCAATTCATTTCTGTTTTTTACTTTAACCACTGAGTAACAAATACTGCAAAAAGGTGTACTTTGAGTTTAACTTAATAGAATATTGTAAATAGTAATTAAATGCTAAATGTCTTGCTCAATTTAGCCTTTGCTCACGGTTGACATAACAGGTTTTTAGGTTTTCTAGTAATGTACTTTTGGATCAGATTTACCTAAAAGGATAGATTTCTTTTGTTAAATAACAGTATAATTAAGCCAGCTATTAAATTGTATCTGTATTTTTTTTGGATATCTTCATTATGTCTCTGGCACAGCTAATCTAATGACATTTATTATTCTTATAACTGCAACAGGTAAATTGTTACCCTTTCACAGCAGCAACTGCAAATTATATGTTGAATTTGTCTGTTTGTTTTTTTTACTATGGGAACTACGACTG